TTACTAGTAGTAACAAGAAGCTACTAGGAACAAGTGCCACGCTACTATAGTGATGGCCTCCAACCTAATAGTGATGGCTTCCAAGTACCCATTACAAGCTCTTAACTTACCTGCGCGGACGCAGGAATTGTGATCCTGTGGCACTTCAGGATTCAAAAGTTCTAAGTTTCTCCTAAAAACAAACACTGCGGGCACACAGCCCGCCACGCCTTTTGGTAGGCTGCAACGCCTCAGGGCCACTACCTAGCATCCTTGACTCAACCCACCCCACGGATCGGATGCTGTCGAGCTGCGGATCTTGCACCGCGACCCAGTCTCGAGGCAGGTCAGGCATGGTGTAGGCCACCGGCTGAGACGGAGGCCGTCCGTCCGAGTGCTTTCGGGGCAGGTGGAGAGCACTGAGGAAAAAGACCGTGAAACGCCATGCCATTTGCGCCATGACATGCCATTCTCAGTCTTTGGCTCAAAGGAAATCTGGAAATTTGTGCAGGGCACCTCTGGATGGCTGCGAATTTGGCTTTGGAAATTCTGTGAAATGCTTAAATGTGAGAGTCTTAGTTTAATTAGAGTCTAGCCTGGCTTGTCTCTTCCCAGGGTGAGCGATCCTTCTTTCTCGAATACATACAGTTACATACCCCTTGAGTTCCCATGCTGTACCGGACCCGCATCCCCGTGATCCTTCAGATTCCTTCAGAAACGATCCAACCCGAACCGCCGCGGCCAGCCCTTTGCTACGAATTAGTAGCTTCTTGTTCGTCTAGTAGTAAGGCCAGGAGCCCCTAGTAGAGAACATTGTTCCTAGTAGCAAATTAGCTACGAATAGCGATGCCCTTTGCCACATTCGTAGCTTAGCCGACCTGCTGCAGGACCGAGGTGTTGGGATCCACGGCGCTGCTGGCACCAGTGGCTCCGCCTGACGCTGTGGCCGCGGCTCCAGAGTCTCCGCCTACGCCCATGCGGCACGCGGCACGAGTCTCTGGAGACGATTCATCGCAGCTGGTCTTTGGAGGTGAATCCGTTAAACTTGAAACGTGGAACTATGGTCATGGGCCATGGGTGTGGAGGTATGTGGAGGTTCTTGAAACTTGAAACCTTGGTTCCTCAAGGGCAATGCCGACCTTGTTTGATGCCTCAAGTGTTTCTTGGAGATTCTTGGAGGGCTGGAGCATGCTGGAGCTTTTGTCAAAGGTTGAACCCACCAGTTGGTCAATCATCCCAGAGGCTGGCATGCGGCAAACCTGAATGAGATCATCGCCACGTCCCGCCTGCCCAGCATGATAGCCAAATATAAACAAACACCTGTTACTACTAGCGTGGCACTTGTTCCTAATAGCTTCTTGTTACTACTAGTAAGGCACCTGTTACTACTAGCGTGGCACTACAGCCAAATCTGTGGTCCGAGGTCCGAACTGATCTATTGAAATTTGCCCTTTAAGCCTTTAAGACTGCCTTTAGGCCCTAGGCCTTTAAGCGGACAATTGGTCTTGGTGTTCTCTCCATTATCGGCTTTGAGTAGCCTTGTACATGATGAGTGTGAGACCGAGATGTTCCACGTTGAGTGGTCAGTTTGGCACAGGGTGCTCGGAGTATCGCTGTGCGATATGTTCACCTCAAACCACCTCAAACCTCCCATGCTGCCCTCATGCCTCCACGCTTGTTCTTCTTGGACACCTGCAACTGCTGTTGCTGTTGCTGCTGCTGCTGCCGTGACTGGGAATAAGACTGCTGCTGTTGATGTTGCTGTTGCCGCTGCGGCTGTTGTTGAGTGTACTGCTGCTGTTGCTGTTGCTTTCCTTTCTTGCCTTTCCCTTTGGAATCGTCTTTGCCTTTTCCTCGCAGTCAAAGGCAAACATCTTAGGAAAACAACACTCTTTGAATGGCATGGATCGCACTGTGGTTTCTCAACAGCGTTCAGCACGATCAAACATACCGCCTCGATGGAAGTCTGTGCTTATATTTATAGAATATAATACAACCGCCGCAGTACTAGTAGTACAGCTACAGCATCGGTAGGAATATTGTCCATCTGGCCTTTTCCTTTCGCAGCTCTGCGTTCTTCGTCTCTTCGCTGCTGTTCCAATTGCTTCTGGTACTTTCTATCTGCCTCTCTCTGCCGCCGTTCTTCCTCCTTCCGCCGTCGCTCCTCCTCCTTTCCTTAGGTCATTGGCTGGACGGCAGGAATGTGGCATCTGAGACTGGTGAAAAAACACTGGTGATCCATGCTCTGAGCGGAGGAATAACACTTGCTAGCTTTAAATTCTAGTTCAATGCATCTGTTTACAACTTTCATGGTTTTAAGTGTCCGATCCGGGTCGGGAGAGTTCATCACCTTTCCGACACTCCGTGTTGACCCCACATGGAGGATCCAGCTCCGTGGTCTGGTCGTGTCGGTCTGCGCTTCGTCCAGGTCACGTCGGCGCTTCTCTTCTTCCGCCTGTCGGCGCCTCATCTCCTCAAAAATGATGATGGGACAACATGGGTGCAGTGGGCCAATGAGAGTTGCAAGTTACAAGTATCATCAAGATTAACATATATGTATATAATATATATATATAATATATGTGTGTGAGGTTCCAACTGAAGACATGTTCTAATTTATACACATTGGCTAGCGATTACTGAGCTTCCACTCCAGATCCAAACACCACAGGTTCTTTTTTTGTGAATCTGATAAGGGTTTCCAAAGGTTTCCATATAAATGGTTTGCACTACGAAGCTCACAAGCCACAGGCGGATGACTGGTGGGAAAAACATGGAAAAACAACTTCCCAGGGTGGCTGACTGGTGGTATTTACACAACCACAAGAGGAACGAACTCTGCAAACACTTTGTTTAAAAAATATATAACTATATTATATACATTATATTGAATTATATGTAATTCAGAATCATTATATATCTTGATCTTCTGGTCTGGGGGTATCTTTGATTCAAAATGTTTATGGGCTCTGTACACTGGATGTCGTTGCCGTCAAACAAGGCATAAATGCCTTCGGTAAGTGGATTTGCTGCTGGAAATCAAACCTCTAAGCCAGCACATAAAATTTCTATTTTACTTTATGTGGTTGTTGGTTGGTGCTAGCAAAGGAATGAATTCAGTTCCTCCTCGGCACTGCTCAAGCAAATAAACTCGTACAGGCAAATCAACCAAATGAAGACACCCAACACAAAAAAAACTTGCAATATGCCCTTTGTTTAAATTTTGTTTAGACCTAGACCAGGTCTGATTGCTTGATCTCCTTGAAAGAACTCAGCAGTTCCCTAGTTAGTTGTCGCTTGTCGAACGAAACCTATGCTTCCCAGCTGCTAGTTTCCCCTTTTCTCATGAGACATAACAATCCATGTTGCTCATTCTTCGAATGCCTGAGAAAAAAAAATACATATTGCATAAATATGCATAGGTCATTCCTCCTTCCAGATCCTTTCAATGACAACCATGAAACAAAAAAACAAAATAACATCAAACAAATCGAAACAAACCAACATACTTTAATATTTAACCACCTGGAAAACCTTCTGCGGTCCACCCGGCCCACCAGCCCCATGGCCCATCTCCTCTTCGCGCTCCTTCCGCTCCGCCTCCTCACGGACCTCCAAAACACGGTGAACGACTGGATCTCTGCCGCCCCAACGAGCCCAGTCGGTTGAAACCTTTTCGCGTAATTAAAAGCTCCGTTCGTAGCATCCTTGCTCCTAGTAGTAAGGCCAGGAGCCCCTAGTAGCGTCCGATCACTCCTAGTAGCGATGCCCTTTGCTCCTAGTAGCGTCCTCTACTGTTGTCAGCAACACATGTCCAACAGTTTAATTGACCGACGTGAAATAGACCTTGGAATCCTGAGGCCTTCGGTCCATTGGATAAAATGGACCTTTAAACTCCTTTAATTGAATCCAAACTACTAGGCCTCCTCTCTCCATTGCTCAGATCTCACTTGGGTCGTCCATCATAAATGAAGGCGCCTCGTGATGCCTCGTGCCTCGTGCCAACAAAACACCGGTGTCTCTCGCCTTCTCGATACTGACGAACGGCTCGAAGAGGGTAAACAGCTGGGTCTCAGCCTCTCGAGCAACACATTTGAAGCGAGGATTTGGCAACAAATTTGGTGGATGATCAACCTGAGACTCCCTCCTGCTCCTACATCATATTCATGTCTTGGACTAGAAAGTGAGAATTGAGGATGTTCATATTTTCATTTTTGATGATGATGTTGGTTCAATTTTATAGTGTAATCATATGTGTGTAACCAACAAACATGTCGACTTGCCAAAATCTGTTGTGGCAAGGATTCAGGCCGTGGTTGCAGGTTCTCCGACTGCACATCAGCTTGAAGCCCTGTTGAGATTGTTCACTTCTCCTTCAAGTTAAAACGGTTAAAACATACCACCCGGTTGGCGAGTGCGCCTGTCCTGTCCTTCGCTTGGACTCTTGCTGTACCTCAACATTGGTGGCCTTGAGCCATGAATGCGAGTGAATGGAGGTCACCACAACCATACTGTCTCTGCATGCATACATCCCCACAGCGTTCGGTGGATCTTATTTCCGTGCACAAGGACTGGCTCTGCCTTGCGTCCCCGCGTCCGGGCCGTCCCTCTTTCAACCAGGGGCTGCTGGTTTCCGTACTCTTTCAACGGGGCACTGCAAGGACTTGGCGATTGGGCTTTGAAAGCCGGATTCGCTTGTTCCATGTCGCCTTCCGCTGCAGCCGGAACGGTGGGGTGGCGCTCACGCGCCATGCAGCTGGTGAAAACAAACTGAGGCTGACAGTCAGGTCAATGTGTTGGTAAAAGAAGGCCATGGAATGACGGGCTTTGGCGGATTTCCATAGCATTGTGTATCCCTCACTTCGGAAGATTTGTTGATTATGCGGTGTGGCTCAACTGTGTCGGAATTGCAATCAATCAGTTGTGCCACCTGTTGGGCTCCTCATGATCAGTATCATCACTTCCTAAAGTCATTCAAGTCGTCCACATTCGTCCACTGTCTTCTGTAGTGTTATAAGTTATAAGTCATAGTCTTTCTGGATCACAATTGGATCATATTGGATATTCTGATCCTTCTTCCGTGCCTCATCAATGCTGGTAAATCGGCTGGAGGCTTCCCGAAGCACTTGGAAGAGCCGGTCCTTGGCACCCGGACTGCACCGTCGGGGCTGTTTTGGGTTGACGTGGTCCGCTGTCGTCCCATGTCGTCCCAGGTGCACGGTTTGACCGGAGGGGTAGCCGGGTAGCCTCCCAAACGACCAGTTACTCCAAAAAAAACCTGGAACAACATGGATGATCTGTCAACATGGCTATTGGAACTACCAAAGGCAAGGGATTGTAGTGGGAATACGGCTATGGCTATTTCTTTTTCTATGTTCCCAAGTCTGCACTGAACACGCAATACATGAAGCTATGGTCCCCCCTTTGACCTGCTTGCACTTCGGAACTGCGGTACAAAATGGGACAAACAAAATCACACACATCAACATCGTCCGCTGGTACAGAGTCCAATCATCAACGTTTTTAAACCTTGCTTGCTGACTTTTTGAAAATGTAACAAGCATATCTATCCACAGCGATCAAGGTACACGTACACGTGGTACCGGGCACATGAGGGCCTCAGTGGGAGTCACTGAGCCTTCGACCAAGGCTTCTCCCACGCGTGGCCTCAAAGGAAAGAGCTTCAAGAAAACCAAGTATTGAACACATTGAATAGTTTGAAAGAATAGCCATCCCAGTATTCTGGTCGCTTCTTGTTCTGAAAGAAAGAACGGAAGCCGCTTGATCGATCATGAACCACCCTGAGTCAAGTATGTTTCTGCTTAAGCAAAAAAGCTCCAGAAAAAGGTGCAAGGGCCTCATGTGGAGAGGAAAAACACAAAAAAGGCATGGGATCTGATGGGAAATCAATGGAATGATTGGAACCAACGAAGCAAACGCCTGAGGGTATCGGTGGATCATGGAGTACTGAGTTGCTAAGGCCTAACTGAGTTCCGTTGGGGGCTGATGCAGAGTCCATCTGACCGGCAGTGAACTGTTCGGTCTTTCGAATGCCCGAGGAACGTCCCGAACGGATGAGACTAGATGAACTGGACAAATGACTGACACACTGACACACTGGTATGATTTTTGTTGTAAGCAATGCTTCCTACCTCTGTTGGATCTTCAATCACACAGAATCACTCAGTCATTCCCTTGACCTATCTCCGGCTTACCGAGGAGTCTAGTAGGTCAGTAATTAGGCATCAACAGTCGCTAGTAGCGTCCTTGCTCCTAGTAGCGATGCCCTTTGTTCCTAGT